CTGCAGACTGTGAGCTCTGGATGCAGCAAGTGACCGCCCATCACCACACATCACCTCTCCTGCCATGGAAGACCATTACGACAGCTGGAGCCCGAAGTCATGGCTTAAATGAACTCAACGAACACTTTAGAGTGATGATGATGTCGTGGATCCATAACCTAGTGGTAGGTCAATACCCTGAATGGAGCAGAAGAGAAGTCCTGGTTTCTGATTTCAAAGCCAGGGTTTCATTCAGTGTCTTGTCCTGGGTTCAGCCAGGACAGGGTTAATTTTCACCGGACTCCGGGAAGGGGCACAGCCGGGCGGGCTGACCCAACCTGGCCAACCAGAGCAGGGTATTCCATACCATGTGCTGTCATGCTGGGTTCTGTTGGGGGGAGGCTGGGCGGCAGGAACTCTCTCACGGCTCGGGAGGGCACAGTGGCGGTTCGGTCCAAGAAAGCGGTTCTGTTCTGTGGGCTCTGTTCTGCGGGTTTGTTCTGTGTAATCCCCTTTTCTGTATCGTTGTTGTTCCTGTTCCCTTAGTTTGCTGTTCTGTTAAACTGCCCTTATCCCGACCCACCGGTTTTCTGCCTGTTTATTTCCATTCTCCTCCGCACCACGGCAGGGGGAGGGGCAGCTGCATGGCGCTTTTGCTGCCGGCTGCAGCCGAAACCAGAACATATGCTCACTGCTCAGGGACTGGCTGCAAATAGATCATCAGGTGTTGAGAAAAATTGTACTGTATATATTTTGTTTTGTATATTCATTATTATCACTATTGCTATCATTAGCAGTAGTAGTCTTTCCTGTGCTGTCCTGTTAATTGTCTTTATCTCAACCCATGAGATTTACCTTTTGTCCCTTTCTCCACCCCATCCCACTGGGGGGGAAGGGGAGGGGTGAGCAAGCGGCTGTCAGGTCCCATTTGCCAGCTGCCAGGTTAAACCACAACAGTCATCTTTTCATACATGCGTTCAGGTGCAAATTTCAAAAGAAACCTGTTTTCATCATGGCTCACTGATAGCACACTCCTTTGTGGATTCTCTAATATTGAATAAAAGATAACCTGACATTCCCACACACTGAAAAATTAAGCGAACACAAGACCAAATACATCAGAAGCCTATCTTCACTCATTCTGAAGCTCACATGCCTTCTGGTGCTCTCTCCTTTTTTTTTTTTTTAACAGAGAACTTCACAGTAAAGAATTATGTCAACTTTGTTTCTTTTGGAATATTATTTCTAAAGCAACAAGTGTGTTTTGCCTTTAGAGACAAAAGGCAACATCCTTGTCCTCAAGCACCTATATGGATGGCTCAAAATCACAACGTACTTCATCTGGTATTTATTTTTCATGATACAACAAGGGTTACTTTGATCTTTTTGATACACAGAGGTATTCATTCTATCTCTAAGGATGGAAAAGACACTTCTTTCTAACATAGCTATACTAGCAGACAAACAGGAATCCTGAACTTCACAGAGAATCATCATGGAATACAAAAAAAATATGAAAAATATGATAAATTACATGTATCTTTTCTAAAGAGGAAACAACAAGCTAAAAAGAAATAGTCTTTTCTTCCCCACACCCAGTTTTGAAAGCTACCTACTAGCTAATATAAAAATGAATGCCATTTCAGATCTCAACCCCTTCCATTTCTTACAGAAGAAGAATTTAATTCTTGTGCTATTCTAGATACCATTTGCAGAGTGACTTTAAATTGCTCTTGAATGAACTAGAAAGTTCAAGCTAACTGAACACAAGGATTCATGTAGCAAATTATCTTACTACTAATGGTATGGAAGAAAGAAGTCTGATTAGTAAACCCTGCTGGATACTTGCAATGTGAGAAGTCGAGAGATGCCAGAACTAAATCAGAGAGGTGAAGATCAATAGTTCTTTAATCAATGGTGGATTACAGTGGGATTTATTCTGCTGAGAACAGCAGGGCAGATAAATTCCCCACTGAGATTAATTACTGGGAAAGGTGGATGCAAACAGAGGAGTGCAGTTATCTTTGTGACAGCTGTAAGTGGCAAGAACACCACCCAAGACAGTACAGAGCTATTGCCTGAGTCTCTGCTGGTGACCAATGACACCCTCATCAAATTCCCAGCACCGCTTAGTTCTGTAGAAGAAACTGCCTTGAAGCCTGTGTATTTCTACAAACACAAATATTGTAAACCAAAAAGCAGGGACACAAGTTTTTGGGTTTGTTTTCAAACTAATGGCTTGTTATGGCTTTTGGGCTCATAAAAATTCTGTATCATGGAGATGAAAGCACCAATGTGTACAGATAAAGAAGGACAGCTTCATGCACAAAGATGCTGACCACATTCACAGCATCTACTTACGTCAAGGGTTTGTAAGAGCTGCTCCGGGGCTCTTTTCTGTTGGGTCTATCTATGTAATCCATCATTACCATTACAGCCTTTGGTGCTAAACATTACAGTTCCCACAAACTAACCACTAATGTATCATGCACTAGTGCTAAATACTGTAAAGAGACACTAAGCAGAAGAAAGAAATCACAGAGCATCTCTTGTAACAAAAACGATTTAGAAATAAGTCATAAATTGAAATTACTGTGACTTTAAACTACTTCAGGAATTTACTACCATGAAAAACCAAACGGCTAACAGCTTATCTTGTCAGTGCTTGATTTTCTACCAGCTTAAAGGAAAGATACCTAACTGGTCTCCCCCCCCCCGACATTTTACGTTGACTTACCTTATGAGAAGACAGCAAGAAGTAGAGGGTCCAGCAGATATTAAATTTCCTGGTCATATTCTGATGGATTTATTTGTTCACTTACTTTAGTTATTACCAGCAATTGTTTGAGCGGTGTCCATCAAACTTTGATCAGATGGCATCAACTTGTACATTTTATTTCTTTTAGAAAACATTTCAGAAAGTATTTTTGACTGTAACACCATCCCAGCTATGTTGGTCTATTTTCAATGACTCTGAATTCAGGAGCTTTAAAAGAAATTTCTGGGGGTTATTTTCTCTGAATTTTATCAGATACCAACAATCATGTCTGTTTTGCAAATCAGAAAAGGTCCTTTATTGGGAAAAATGCAAGTTTAATACAGATATGATATATATAAATTACAAAAAGTTTTAAAAATCATCTCTCCAGGATACCCAAATTAATTGAAGGTGGAGTCTCAGTGAAGCAAATAAAGTCTTTCCCAGATCATCTCTTATTTTAAAGCAGGTCATAAAAATAGTCCAGGCCTTGTCCCAGTTCCCAGATGGATATTCCAGTGCCCAATTCTTTTGCAAGCTCTAAGCGCAGCTGGATGGACTAAGACAAAGACAGACAAAGCAGTCACCTTTTAGTCACAGACATTAGACACTCGATGCTACCATCTCTTCATGCCATTATCAAACTTTTAAAAATATCTGTTCTTGAACCAGATACTGAAAAACCTCATCTGTATTTCAAATAATCTCTGGTTAGCAAGCAATCATTCAGTAAGAGACAGTTAATTGCACCAGTTAATTCAGTGACCTACTGAAAGATAACCAGCTAAACAGACAAAATGCCGCAGAAACAAATCAGATTTATGAACTCTGCAAAAGACTATTCTAATTTAGGCTATCATTTCACAATGTACAGAAATTCTAACTCTTCCCAGAAATGTCTCAGGGCTAAAATAAGACTTTATCACTCAAGACAATAAGAACAACTTGTCAAATACCATCAAGATCTCTTACCTACCCTTGCCTTGTCCCACGACAGAGTCACAATTTTCATTATCATAATTCTATTTTACACAGATTCTGGGAGATTAATATTTAAAAGTATCCCTACCTGAGCTCCAGCCATTGATTTATAGTTAGTTTAGCTATTGGTTTACAAGGGAAGCAATGCCACAATTCATGTTCTGCACTTCCTTCAATTCAGACAATGAAAATAACTATTTTTCAATTTTTTACTTTTAGGTTTTCTTCCTTTGAAGTGTAGCACTGCAGTGTTTAAACTGCTTACACCAGGGATGTGTTTAAAGTTCATTTCCACAGAAAACAGAACAAAGTATCAAGGCATCACTAACAGATCCACTGGGCCTGGCATTCATGACAGCTTTTATTTAATCATGAACAAACCAATTTAGAGCAACTTGCCAGTGATAATAACATTAAAAAGGAGAAGAAACACACTTGTCATGAGGAAACAAAATTCAGTGTTTGCTGACCATCCTGATCACCATAATGTGAACAACTCTTTGATTTGCCCCAGCATACAAACCTCAAAATATTTCATTACAAGCTTGCTGAAATTGGAAAGAAAAACTGTTTCCGTAAATTCACCAACCACCACAGTTGAATATCTGCTAGAGAAGCAGTAACGAAAGAAATGTACAGGAATGAGTGTTCTTAACCTGGCTAGTACTGACAATAGCAGGGTGAAATCCTTCCACAATGCCAAAGAGAACGTAGCATAACAACATGCAGCGTGATCTACCTTTTCTCTGATAGGTTTGCAACAAAACTTCCTAACACCCTAAGACAGGTACTACCAGCAAGAATATAGTTAGACATGGTAATTAATATCCCATATGCGTTAGTATTAGGAAAAAAATGCTGTTCAGAGAAACAGAGCCTTGGATCATTTCACAGTAGTTTAACCATACAAAATGTCTCTGTTCTCGGTAAATATGATATACTTTCACTACAGAAGCAATTCCCGTCCAATATTAAAAGCCAGCAGAGGCTTAACATACCGCCTTTAGCTCAATTTGAGAAAATCTAAAGACAGCTTCCTTCGAACTAAGGCTGCAAGTAACCATTTTATCCTGTATTCTGGTATATTGCAGACTATTGTGTACACAGAGAACGTATGTCCTGCCAAAGGACTTTAGCAAGGCCAAATGCTTAAGTTTTCAAAACACTACAATACGTTCCACAGAAACAGAACTGAAGAAAACAGGGTGATGCAGGCTGACAGGGAGAATCAAGACCTCATTACAGAGGAAGGCAGAAGTTTCCCAAGCTTCCAGCCAACATGATCAGAAAGAAAATTTCTTCAGTCTCTTTTCTGACAATCAGCATGTCTGTTAGCACATGAACTGCGCACTCAAACAGATCCTCTCAGAGCACTGGTTTGCCCTGGTATGTCTTATCTCTAGACATGGCTAATCTTCAAAGATCCCAAATATTCATGAGACAGAAAAAACAATCATCGTACAGGCAGCTGAAGTTTTGAATCATAACGACACGAGGGTAAACTTCTTTTACACAATCCTAAACCCAGTTCAACATTTTCTGAAATGTCTCAATAATACAACAAGTCAAGTAAACATCTCTTTCCTTTTACAGCCCTCTCATGTGAAAAAGTGGCACCTACCTTCAGTGTTGGGTAGAAGACGGCATGTTTTCCTCCTTTATTTCTGCAAAACAGGAAAACCAAATCATTACACTAGCTTTGATAGATTCCCATAGTATTTTTAGCTGAGGTTAAAATTCAAAACCAGTTTTATTCCTTCTCACTAAAAGAAAAGACAGTGCTGAAGAAAACTACTGATTTTGTTTTGAAGAAGTTAACGCTATTAAAAATAAGATACACTAGTATGTTCAGCACATGAGCATTAATATGCCCATATCAAAGACAGAGACTACTTGCCATTTAGTAGCTTGTATCTTCGAGATTTCTTACCCAGTGTTCCTCCACTCTGGAATCTGAGGCACTCTGAAATCAGACACTTTGGCCATCAACTTCCATTAATTCCATATTTAAGCTCTGGCTACTCTAAACAGGGCCAAAATCTTGACTGCTTCTCTTCCTTTTCTACTGTAGATGCAAACATCACAGCACATAAATCCACATAAATCCAAAGTGGTGGGGAAAGAAAAGCTGTTAAGAGAAGGCACACAACCTATCTAACAGTCAAGTATGCCAGCGTGTCACTGTCCTGCAGGTATCCTTTACAGGAATATTCATCAGAAAGGTCCTCCTGAAAAACCATCCTGCTTAAATGGGCTTTGACAATGCTAGAAGCTGGGAAGTTACAAAGTTCAAAACATGACTGTATAGAGTCAAAGACCCGCTAGAGGAGTCTTTGCGTAGCAATTGCATCATGCCACAACTACAACAACAAAAATCCCTGGTTATCGAAACGATTCCTTAAAAGGCTTCAGGATAAGGCCTCTCAAACATCTAAAGAACAGAGCACAGTTTCCTAGTAACTAACACAGCCTGGGAAGAAATCAGGTAACTTTCATGATTTAGATGAAAGTCCCAAACGTCTTTGGGTGTAACACTTCATGGAAGAACTGGTTACAATGAAATACAATACAGACAGAGTCAGAAAAAATACTTATTTACTCCATACTAGTGGCCTTTAAGGAGGTCAACTCCAAAAGGAGGTGAAAAGGCTGACAGCAAAAATAGAGGATCCAAGAAGAGATCTCACAACAGAGGTGGTTTGATACTAGATCTAATAAACACACTGAGATATCTTGTTGCAATTGGATTATAAAACTATCAGATAGTAAAAGACAGTTGCACCTACTAAATGCGCATCTGAAAAAGATGAAGACATTTGGTTCTCAGATGCAAACTGTGAAAGATTTTTCTCAATTCCCCAAATTACTCTTTCAGGTTAAATTAAATGCTAGCAATATAACAAATACAGACAGGCTAAGTTGCACTGGGCGCAGATACTAAGGCTGCATTTTAAACCACTAATAATGAGAAGGATGAGTCACAAGTGGTCTCACAGCACCACTTTACCAGTTAGGCTAAAAGAAAATGCAGAGTGCATGGACCGACCAAGTAGGAATTGCTCCTAAAATCTCCCAACTTGCGTAAATACATACTAGTCTCTGCCTGCTACATGAAAATCATTAGCTGTGCTTTGCTTAAAGATTCATGATTTGATTTCTTAGCAACTGCAGACACAGAAGATTTCCAGGTGAGACACTTTACTCAGGCCTGGCTGCCATCCCCTTTATTTCAGGCCTGGCTGCCATCCCCATCCAATGTAAGTGAACCTTTGCAAACCAAAGTGGTAACCAAGAAACAGTTGCCTTAAATAACCCTCCCCTGCAGCTGCATGAAGCCACACAGCTGTCTGCCCAGCACAGTGCAGCAAGTGAAGTTTAGAGTGATTTTCAGATCCAGTATGCTTTATGCATCAAAAATTCCTCCAGGAAGCCCACAAACAAGAATCTCCAAAGACTGGCTTTCAAAGGTAACACTGGTAACAAAGGACACTTCAGTACAGGCTACAGCTTGCAGCGAGTGCCCAGACCCTTCTCCTGGAGCACCGGTGAGTGTCTGCTCAAGATGCAGGCAGGTTGAGGATCTGATACGTCAGGTGGCTGAGCTGCAGGAAACAGTTAGCAGCTTACGCAGTATCAGAGGAGCTGAGTTGGCGATAGATACATGATTCCAGAACCATGCTCCTGTGGAGACCACCACTGAGAAAGAGGCACCTTGGACCCTGGTGACCCGCAAAAGCAGGACTCCGCTCCAGCCTCCACCCTCCAGCATGACTACCAAAAACAAATACGAAGCTTTAACAACTATAGATACCCAGGAGCAAGATCTGCAAGAGAAATCTACGCCAGCAGCACACAGCGGGTACCGTAAAAAGAAACCACGGACACTTGTGGTGGGTGACTCCCTGTTAAGGGGCACTGAGGCGCCCATCTGCTGACCTGACAGGGAGGCACGCGAGGTGTGCTGCCTTCGGGAGCTAAGGTCCAGGATGTGGCCAAGAGGGTGCCACAACTTGTGAAGAGCACAGACTACTATCTGCTGTTACTCTTTCATGTAGGCACAAATGACACTGCAAGTCAGAATGTTGGCAGAATTAAGGAAGGTTTCAAAGCCCTGGGGGGTGAAAGCAAAAAGCTTTGGTGCCCAAGTTATCTTTTCCTCTATTTTACCAGTTGGAGGAAGGGGATCAGCTAGAAATAGGCGCATTATGGGTATCAACTCTTGGCTTCGTGGCTCGTGCCGATGTGAGGGTTTTGGGTTTTGTGACAATGGGACTTTCTTCAATGACTACAACCTGCTAGAGAGGGATGAGATCCACCCATCTAGAAAAGGCAAGGGGATCTTTGGCAACAGACTAGCCAGCCTGGTGTGGAGGGCTTTAAACTGAAGGACTTGGGGGGTGGGGGGCAAAGTCACAATGCTCAAGCCATCCCATCTGGCTGGGGATTAAGAGTGGCTAATCAGAGCAGTGACAAATGTTCCTCAGCTGTGCCCCAAGCTGAGAAGCAAAAGACCAGCTACCTTAAGGGTGGGCATGGACATGGCAGACCCTTTTGCACCCCTCCAGGGAAACCAGCATGCTCGAGTTCCTCTCTGAAATGTCTGTACACCAACGCACTCAGCATGGGCAATAAGCAGGAAGAATTTGAGATCTGTGTGCGGTCACAAGGCCACGATCTCATTGGAATTACAGAGACATGGTGGGACAGCTCGCATGACTGGCATGCTGTCACGGATGGCTGCACGCTCTTTAGGAAAGACAGGCCAACAAGGCGAGGTGGTGGAGTTGCTCT